CCCCGCCTGCACTGCACGGCCCTCTCACTCGCAACTGTGACGAATGTATCGCGAGTGAGCGAGAAAGAAAACACCTGACGTCAGTGATAACGAACCTCGCCTCTGATTCACGCTGACCAGCAGAGTGGCCCAGTCGCTAGCCCCTGGCAAGCGGGAGTTAGGCCACCATTCCAGCCCGTACGTATTGCTTGAGATCAGCTGCCTCACCAGGAGGCGCTCTGCACTGTTTTTCCACAAGATAGCCAACCACCCTATTTTTCTTCCAAAACGTTGGGAGCATAATTTCTGCTATAAAGACGATTATGTCGAGCAGAACACATAAAAACTTAGGTCAACCACACAACCATAGATCAAATAGGGCCACTTCAAATTTCGCCGACAATATTCCAGTGGTCTAATGTGACTGCCTCCACAATTTTCTCGATCAAATATGCATTTATCTTACCAGTCGAAGCTGCAAATTAACCTGTTGTGCTACCAACAAACTTAATTATTGGTGAAAATATTTATTCTTTTTATCTCTCTTCAAGTCTTGCCTGATTGACACTTCATAGACCAGGAACAAAACTACATTAATTGGGCGTTGATTGGCAAGAGGGGCACACTTCATGTTGTTTGTTATCGAAAGTTCATAGTCTTTATTAATTAGCTATATTAAGGGAGTTTTAATAATATCACGATTACAGTTCTTAAGAATTAGGCTTCAGTTCTGGAACTACAAACACAATATTTTGCGGGGAAACCCTGGAAAGAGAGCGTCTTCCGAACCGGTGAAAAGACCAGGTCAGTCGTTGGTCCAGAGGTACCAATCCTCATGGTGGACGTTAGCCTCCTCCGGGTCGTCGACGTCCTTGAGGTGCATCACTATATCCACACCGTCTACCGCGTGGTGCAGGTGGGGCGGAGCCATAGGTCTGTGTGCCCAGTCGAGGGCGGCGTCGTGGAAGTGGTGCAGCCAGCGCTGCAGCAGACGGGCGTCTCTGTGTGCCAGCATCACGTCGGGATCCTCCTCGCCTGCCAGGGTGGCGCACTCGTACCGCCGGTAGGTCGACAGATCGGCCATCAGGTACGCCGAGTTGGAGACGTACATACCGCCGTGTTTCCTACCAAATTGTGACGTGTTTACTAACCTCGCCAGCCGTCTTCCAACCCCTCAGGTTGGCGACAGCGTCTACACAAACTCACCTCAGCACGCGCAGGGCGGTGGCCCGGTGCAGAGCCGCCCCGTCCCGGAAGGGCAGCCCGAACAGGTGCTGCGGCCTGGGACGGCGCTGCACCGACAGCCTCCCCCAGGGCGCGGCGCGCTGCAGCCGCTGCCACGCCGTGCCGCGCAGCTCGCGGTCCGTGTGCACCAGCACGGTCCAGCCGGGGTGGCTCCTGGAAACACAGGAGGGGTTGGAGTACGCGTTAGGGCGGGCTGTCCCAAAACCACGTCATGTGACTCTTGTGGAGGGATGCGAATACCATGGGACTCGAAAAGGATCAGAAGGGCCCTTGGAGTTGATAGAAGCCTCATGATATTTGCACCCACGGAGGTACAAATATCATAAGGTCTCGAAGGACTCCAATGCCCGCTCGCTTTGGACCCTCCCCCCCCCCCTCCGACGCACTCACCTCAGGGCGGCGCTGATGCAGGCGGCCTCCTCTGGACGCACCTCCTCGCTCTCCTCGCCCATGCGCACAAAGTGGATGATGTTCGGCACGAGCAGGTCGTCCGCGTCGCCGCGACCCGGCGTGTTGTTGAATCCGCTAAAGCGCTCGGGCACGTTGGCCAGCGTCTTGGACGTGCAGGTGAAGTGCCTGTAAAGTGGAAGTCACATACAGTTTAGCACATCCTGGTCCTGGTAATGTAATAATAGACCCTTATCTATGAGACCCGAAAAAGATTATGAGGTACTAGCCTAGGACTCAGCGTGAAGGCCTTGAAGGATTGGTTGAGTCGCCATACAACCCAGAGCGATGCCAGAAACACGACGAACCAGGTATCCGCTGACAGGAGCCGCATCTTGCCCCTAAAGATCCAGACGCTGCCTTAAGACCAGGTTTTTTCATATCACTGGAAAGCACGTTTTAGTTTAGTAGATCGAATTCGAATTAACATTGAGGGCACACGATCTGGTTTTTGCCTCAAACGCGCCAATGTTGCGGCGTAGTTATATACCGTGCTCTCATGTTTGACGGGTTGCCTGGTCTCGGGTCCCACTGCTTTGAACACTATCTTTTATCAATATCTTTTATAAACGCACGCGGTTCAACCACTTGATTACAATTTAAGTGAGCAAAATAACATAACTATCAGACTGCAGTTTCTCGTACGTATTATTCTCATTGTTTCTTATTAGCTAACTCTTTTCTTTGGCACATCCGTCCCCCTTGGTCCTTCAGAGGCCGTGGCGCGCGCACAGGCGCGGCAAAACCGCCTGCGCCAGTTGCAGCACGGTCACGTTGTAGGCGCAGATGTTCTCCTCGGTGAAGGTGACCGGGTAGCTGAGCCCCTTGCGCCACCCCTGGAACAGCACCAGCCCCGTGTGCCTGCTGAACAGGTGGACGGCCAGCATGTCCTTCCGCCACGCGTCGTAGGCGCGCTCCAGGTACAGCACGTCGATGACGTTCATGTCGACGCCCAGGCGGACGGGCTCGCGGTGCACGAGCTCGGGGCGCGCGTGCAGCGCCACCTGGGTGGGCCGCTGGCCGGCGTTGTAGTACCAGAGCGTGCCGACGTAGGCCTCGCGGTACGACTCGAGCCAGGCCAGCAGGAAGCGGGCGTCGCGGTGAGCCACGAGGACCTGCAGCAGGCGCCAACAGCCCTTCAGCCAACAACTCCATCCAAGTCGTGTCGACGTCGAATCGACGAGATTTTCTCACACGGTAGGTTGAATTAAATTTCGTCGACATCCATTCGACATCTCGCCAGGGTTCATTGCCCCGATTATCCGACCCACCTGCGTGCCCAGGAACTCGCCCTGCGGCCAGCCGAGGCTCATCTCGAAGCGCCGCAGCTCGTCCAGGCTCTGCAGCAGGTAGGCGTCGTTGTCCAGGAAGATGCCGCCGTACTTGCGCAGGATGTGGATGCGCGCCACGTCGCCGCCGTGCCACTTGCCGTAGCCGGGGTCCAGCGGCTGGCCGAACACGTGCGTCACCTCGACGGCCGGCACGATCTGCAGCACCTCCCGCAGCCCGGGCGTGGCCTTGAGCCGCTCCCAGTACTCGCCGCGGAAGTCGAAGAGGTCCGTGTGGAACATGAGCCAGTCGGGGTCCTGGCGCTCCCAGGCCGCCAGCACGCACACGTAGTCCATGAAGGAGAACTCGGGCTGGCCGATGCGGAGGAAGTGCACGATGTTGGGCACGATCATGGTGGCGGCCCCCGACGAAGAGAAGACTCCCGTCTCGTTGTCGAAGCCCTTACAGCAGACCACAAGCGTCACACATTGTCCTGATCTCTCTGTCGGGGCGCGAGTGGTGGGGCGACCCCGTCTCCCCCATAGCTACCTCGAAGTCGTCGGCCAGGCCCAGGACTTGGTCGTAGTTCCACAGCAGCGACCAGCAGGCCTGCCTCCGCAGCGGCAGCGGCCCGTCCAGGACGGCCGCGAGCGCGGCCAGCAGGCACACGCCGGCCAGCGGCGCGGCCCACCACAGCCTGCGGCCCTCGCAGCCCAGGGAGGCCCTGGCGGAGGCCCTGTACACCAACACACCTCACTGGCCGTCACTGTGTTTAAGGCAAAGCGGGGCCCGGGGCTGCGCGAACCACGTCAATACAATGGGAGCAGATTCAAGAACGATGTCCAAATTGAAATTTGAGACAATCAATCAACGGTTGTATCAACATCGTACGATGAAAGTTAACTAGACTAGGCCGAAAACGTTCAGATCGGTGCGACCACACTGTGGTCGTGCGCTGCTGGTTCTCCAATAAACCCCCAGAATACACAGTCGCACCGAACGTTTTAAGACACATACACATTCTTTTTGTACCCAGTTCCCAATTCCAGGAAAACGACCGATTGCCGCAGTGTTGCAATGGAAATCGAATTTGGATTATCGAACAATAATAATAATATTAGATTTCTCACTGGCCGTTGCCCTCTTGTTCTACTCTCGTCCAAAATGAATCGGTCGTGACTTACGTGCGCAGGTACCTCATGCCTCGCGTCCGCTCGCTTCGCAACGCTCACCCACCCGTCACCGGCACTCACTGGCGAGCGTCACCTGGCCGGACCGCACCGCATCCTGGGCAGCGAGGGTGAAGATAACCTAGATAAGGGCTATCGTAGAACACGGTCAAAAATAAAGCAAAACTTTATAAAAAAATAAAAACGGCAGGCACAACCGTTTAACAGACAGTCCCCACGATGTCTATACGCAGCTCCCCTATTTAGTATTTTTTTGTGCAGCCCAAGTGTAGCTAGTTCTAGTCAAAGGAGCTTCTAAAGGATTCCCATAGTTCAAACGATCCGCCAAGGTGCAACTACCAGCGTGACTTGATGTATCCTATTAGCTTCCTCAACTCCAGTAAACCACCTTGTGTTTGTTTCTACAAGACATCGACAATACCCCGAGGAGGGAAGGGGGGAAAAGACGTCCCTGTTTGTAGCTACACGATTGTAGGTACGTACAGCCGACAGTGCCCGAGTCAGCTTCAGGTGAACCGTCTATATAGACGAATTCATTACTTCCACCAATGCTAGAATATCAACCAGAAGTAAACTGCGCTAAGAACTAAAGCGGAAACGAAAGATATCAATGCCTCTCCGAAGCTCTCGCGCCTTGTCCAAGCGCTCGGAGGGACATGGGGCCGCGGGCCGCGGGGACCCGATTTAGGAAAGCATTGCCTACCCTCCAGGCGATCTCAGCGACATTCATCGACCCACGCCTAGATTGACACGGCCTCACTTCTTAGCTTTAGAAAGGATTTATGAGCCTGGAGTCAAAAGAAGCCTAAACCCAAAGTCCCAGTCACGACAGACGCCTTAGATAGAAGCCGTGGCCTACCTCGCAGGCGTCCAAGCGACAACTCATGTCGCGGCGACAAGTGGTAGTAGACACGTCACTGTCCATGGACACAAAAATGTAGTCACAAATGGGGCAACATACGATGTCCGACGCCACTAGCCCACACGCCCCTTTTGTAGTTAAACAGTTGTAGCTACAGACAGTCGACATAACCGCATGCAGCTTCATCCGAACCAAAATTGTCGGCCCGAAGATCAACTCCTGGGCGGGGAAAATTTTTTCTTTGTCGCTTTTTGTCTCCCGTTAGGCATGACCGAGCTTAGACCTCGGCCCCGTAGGAGCAAGCTGATAGCCGAGCGTGTTAAATCGTGATTGTTGGCATATCGTGCGGGTGGTCGATAGTTCGAATCCCGTCCGCGGTCATTTTTCCCTGCTCTGCTGGCCAAGTGTCTTCGGGCGTCGGTCACAGCTTAGATCAAGATGCCGCTGAGAGTAGCGCTATCGTTCCGTCGTGGCCAAGTCGGTAGCGTCCGGGCCTGGTATGGACCTGCTCACTGGTTCGAATCTCGGCCGGGCGATAATTTTCGCGCTCCGCTGGCCATGACTTTACAGCCGTGCGACACCTGATGTGATGGGCCGGTACGCAAACAGTCGCTGGTTCGAATCTAGTCGACGGAACCCTTTTCCTTCTGCCAGCCATATGTTTCGGGGTGAGAGCCACATCGGAGATAAGCTTCACCCATGCCAAGCCCCCATCATTGGCTCAGTTGGAAGAGCGCGCGCTCAGGACGATGATGGTTGTCGGTTCGAATACTGCCCGAGGTTCAGTTTTTTTTCCTATTTAGTAGTTTGCGGCGGGGGGACCAAGGGTTAAGACAAAAGACCAGCCGATATGGGGACGTGGACTTGACCGCCTACTCAGCAGCGCCCTCCCCTCCCCCTGCCAAAAAAAAAAAAACAACAAGAAAATGTTCGCCCCGACCAGGACTCGACCCCTGGGCTGAGGGTGTCTTGTGCACCAAGCCCTAGCGCGCTCGCTAGTCGGCTGTCGGCTCCACTTCTTAACGGAAAGTTCAAACCTCGGTGACCTGCTTTACGAGTCATGGTCTCCCGGAGTGCACGCGTTCAGGCCGGGTCAAGTCCACCTCCTCGACGCGCTGCAGCCCGGGTCGGCTCTTGGCCCGAGACACGGAAAATGGCCTCTAAAAGAGCCCCTTGGGCGCGCGGGGGTTAGGTTAGGCCCATTTATGTTACTAATTCCGTGATTTTGGCCAGAATTCGACCCGGGCTGCAGCGCGTCGAGGAGGTGGACTTGAGCCGACATGCACGCGTGCAATACGGGAGACCAAGACCCGTAAAGCGGGACCGAGTTCTGACATTTTCGTCCACAGGAGCAGCTG